GGGCACCCAGGGCCCGCCAGGCCGCAGCGTCGGGCTCCCTCAGCCCCACCGCCACCGGCTCTCGCAGCGCCTGGGGAGCGGCTTCAGGGGGTCCCCAGTGTCCTCCCCGCATCCCCCCCCAGCCCGACTCGGCTGGGGCACGGACACAGCGGCCCCGGTGTGGCAGAGCGTAAAGGGGTGCCACTGGGCCCTGTCCCCTCCCACAGCACGGCCACCCCGGGGCCTGCTGCTTCCGTGCGAAGTGGAGCGGCTTGGTTCAAACCGCTGCTGGGGTGAAGCCGCGGCAGCATGGCGCCGTGCACTTTGACTAAAATTCAAGCAAATGCAGGCCCCTGGGCTTGCCTGGACCTGACTGGACACAGCGTCGTTGGAACGCAGGTATCTCAGCTGTGAGAATGGCGTACTGGGAAAAAAAACAATAAAGTTCAGGGGCTCAGGGATAAGAGGTTTTCCACCCAAAAAGAGTTGGCAAAGATCTCAAGAAGATTGGTCCCCTAAGACCAGTCCAAAAGCTTTCCGAGCCTGACTTCCTCGGAAAAAGAGAAAATGTACAGGATATGTCATGCAAAGTTGCCAGAACCACCTAAAAATAGCCTGCACTTCTAATATTACTGCTTCCTGCTGCTTGCATGAATGGGAGTATCTATGAACTTCCTTTCCTTCTTCCAAAAATGCCTCACCTTCCAGGCAGATGAGGGCTGATGCATTTCTTTTCTCCCTATCAGGGTCATTCTCCATAACACTTATCTGAGTCGGAGTCAGTATCGAATTAGTGGCTGTGAGCCACCCCTGTGGTTACTCTGAGGGCAGGGGAAGGAGCATGTGTGTGAAGGGAGCTGTGATGAAACACCTTACTCAGTGTTTACACAGCAACACAATTCCCGCCGCATCCACTGCCTTAGTGGATGGAACAGGAATATTTACATTTCTGCAAATTATGGGAAGACAGGGAATGGCTGTCTCTTCCTGGACATGCCTGTTTTCTCGAGGCACCCATTTGTGCCTCTCCTGTTTTGGATGTATATGCAGCTAGTCTCCAAACTTGACCTGCCACACAATTTGTCTGTGGTGTTCCGTCTGCATTCCAGTATGGAAGGTGCTGTGAAATCCCACACCTCTACCAGCGAGATGCAGGCTGGCCCTCCAGCTCCTTAAACCTGAATAAAAGCTGGAGGGGTGTACTGGGGGCTCTGCTGGGAGCCTGGGGCTCTTGCTGTAATACCAGGCCTTTTGCTCCCCACGTGCACTGCAGGTGTTGAGGCTCCACTGGGAGCTGTCACAGGAGTCGTCTTCAGTTCCTGCATCACTAAAACTCAGTCTCTTCCCTGATATTGCTGATTTTCAGATAAAACCCTGAATAAATGGAGTTGCCTAGAGTTAAGCACGTGCGGGGATGCCCAGGAAGCTGGTGGATTCCCATGCAGCCCTGTCCCTCCTTTTCTCCAGGGAAATTTCTCACAGTCTCAATGTTTGCCTTGGATAATTGCGCTTCATTTTTAACTACATCCATTTCTTGGGGCACAGGTGCAGACTGCTGTTGCAAAAGCAGTGCTGGTTCCTTGCATGCTGCAGCACACACTGAGATTCCCTCTGTGACTGACCAGACCAATGGCAGCGGGTGTGTTGAGCAAGCCCAAAAAATGTGTGTCTCAGTTGCCACAGGATTTATCTTGCTGCAATAGGGGCTTCTGTGCTGCTTTGATCTGCTTTTGCACACCAGAAGAACCCAGCGTCTGGCTGCTGCTGTGCCCAGGGTGTCACTGCCTTGACAGGGTGGGGTGACAGATTTTAAGTGCTTTGGTTCTGTCATCTTTTCCTCCAGGAGGAACTGATGGTTCTTCTCAAGGCACAATGGCTGGTTCTTCTCAAGGCACACTGGGTCTTCTCAAGGCACAATGATGCCCTCAGCCAATATGGCCCTGTGGCCAGACAGCCTCTGCTCTTGCCCTGCAACAAGATGGGGAGGAAGGTGGTTTCTTGCCAGTGTTTGGGCAGACAGGTGGCTTTTTGTTGGGGCAGGAAAACTGGTTCCTTCAGCTCTTCTGCCCCTCCCTGCCATGACTCTCAGCACTGTGTCTTCAGTTTCCTCTCTTTCTCTTTCCCACTTTCCTTCTGGATCAGATCCACTTCACATTTTCCATCTGTGTTTTCTCTGCCAGTATTTGCTGCCTGGCAGCTAGCGCCAGCACGCAGACGGGGGCGGCTCTTGCTTCAAGATCCCAAGGACTTTGCCAGCTGCTACAAGTCCTCCGAGATCCTCATTTAAAAGGAGTTTTGAATCTCTTGCCATGGTCCATTTCTCTTCACTTGCCTTCAGCACTGCCTGGCAAGCTCTTTGTCTGCCAAGCAAAGAAAACTCTAAAGAAAACATACTTAGGACTTAGTTGCACATTCATTTCTTTTTCACTTATGCTTATGGGCATCCAGCTTTTACTGACCACAGAGGTCATTCACATCCCTTCAAGCACTCAAAGCAGTGCTATAAAGATCATGTCATAACTATGTTGACCTTTCAAAACAATCCTTATTGCCAGAACAGGTTCACTTTGCACTA